CGCCGCAGGCACAGCGCACAGACCGGGGAGGACGTCCTGCAGGGGCCGGCAGAGGAGCCGTGAGCCCCGGATGACAGCTGGGCATCAGGCGTGGTCCCAAGCCAAGAAATGGCCGTGAGCTGGGCGGCTATGCGAGGGGAGGGCAGCACCCAGGCCAGAATCGCAGCAGGCGACAGCGAGGTCCCGAGGAGGCCCGGGTCACACGTATGTGGGGCCGGGCTTTAAAAAAGGGCTTTATTGGAAGGCAAAACAGTAAAATTCACCAGAAAATGTTAACAGAACGCGTTTTGTCGTGTATCGGACATGCCCGAACGAGTCACGGCTACGGAGATCTACAAGTGGGACATTCTACAGGGTGCTTGCAGGGAGCGCCGCGCCCAGAGGGAAGAACTTCCCAAGTTTATGACCCACGTGGCCACAGCCGCACGCGCACTGGTGTGGGGGTCCCGCAGCGCGCCGCCCTCACCCTCTCTGGGGCCTCGGGGGCGGGTGTCCAGGCTACAGCAACACGGACGCTGCAGGGGCGAGGGCACGGCGGGGGGCCTGTCCTAGTCCTCCCTCTCCTCCTTGCGGGCAGTCGCGGGCCTTCATGCGCGCGATGAACGAGTAGCTCTTGTTGCGCCGGTAGTTCTCGTAGGGGTCGTCCAGCGCCACGCCCACGCCTTTGTACTGGTCCCACTTGTCGCGCACGTCGCCGCCCTTGATGGGGTCCTGGATGCCCTGCTCCTTTGCGCCCAGGCCACCGGAGCCGCTCCAGCCTGGGAGGGACACGCGGGTGAGACCCTGCTCCCACTGGGGCGCGGCACCCGTGCCTGTCCCCACATCACTCACCCATCTTCACCAGCATCTGGTGCCCCTTGTTCTCTTCTCCCAGACGAGAGTCGGGTATGGGCGGCGCTGAATTCGCACCCAGACCCGCCGAGGACCTGAGCAAGCAGGCGGGGTTTTAGGATACAACAGAACCCATGTACTGAACGGCGACGCCCCTGGTCCTGAGGGGCCCTCAGGGCAGCCAATGTCAGGGCAAGGCACAGGGACCCGGGCGGGGACTTGACTTACGGTGGTGTGGGGCTCCGGGACCGAGAGCGGCGCCGCCTTCCTGGGGAGTAGGACTTGGACCGGGACCTCGAGCGGGAGCGGGAGTGGCTCCGGGAGGAGCGGGACCTGCTGCGACTCCTGAGGAACAGCTCGGCTCAGCACGGTGGCCCCATGGGTGGGGGTGGGGTGGGGCAGGCAAGGTGGCTGCTTTTACCTGGACCTGGAGCGGGAGTAGGAGCGGGAGCAGGAGCGCGACCGGGAGCGCGAGTAGGAGCCGGAGGACTTGGAGGAGCGCGAGTTGGAGCGGGATGAGGAGCGGCCGCGGCTCTTGGACCTGCTCCGGGACCTGGAGGGCCCGCTGCACGGACAGCGCGGTGAGAGGTGAGCGACAAGGGGCGAGGGATGCCGCCCGCCGCCCGCCCTGGCCCAGCCCACACCTGTTCCTCTTCTCCTGGCCTTTCCGCCGCCGAGCGCGCATCTTGGCCCGGAAGAACTCGTAGAGCCCATTCTGCTCCCAGCCTTCACTGTAAGGCACCATCGCCGGGTGAGGCGTTGTCCCTCCAGGGGACACGGCGCCACCCGCCCCTGCCCGCTGCGCACCTGTTCCGGGGCCTGTCGTGGGAGGGTGGGCTGTAGAAAAAATTGTTCTTCAAAATCACCAAACTCCATCTTCTATGGTTACATCTGGAGTGACTTGTAACAAAGAAATATCAGACTTACAGAAGCTTCCATCTGTAGAGAGATATGGGGACCAGCTGGTTACAATCACTATTCCAGAAAGCAGTGTCTGGATATAACTCTCTTCCCCAAACTTCCTTTCCATTCTAATACTCATGCTTCAGTAATATGTCCTTTAATTTCTTGGGGAATCCTTGGGGTCCAGGGGCTTGTACTCATGGTCTTCCAGCTGCGGGGGGCCACGGTGGGCTGCCTGGGCATGGGTGCCACCCTCCCCTCCCTGTGCCCGCTGCCAGGACCTGGGCCTCACGCAGCCTGGGGGTCCCCAAGGGGCGCTACCTTCACAAGTGGGGCCATGAGCCCAGCGGGGAGGTCGAAGTAGGGCACGTTGGGCACCAGGCTGGGGTCATCGTGGTTGATGTGCGGTGGGCCCTGGCGCCGCATGTGGGGCGGCTGCCCATTGAAGCCATGGGGGGGCGGGCCAAAGTCAGGGTGCTGGGGCCCGGCCCAGGGTGGGTGCTCGTTGATCCCGGGGTGAGGCATGCGGTGGCCGGGGTGGTGGTAAGGGCAGGCTGGAAACCTCGTGCTGGCTCCCACCGGCCTGCCCGCCCACATCAGGGGCGGAGGACAAGGCCCTGGCCAGCGTGGCAGAGCCGGGCCTGCTCTTCTCACCCGTGAGGTGCCCACACCAGACCTCACACCCAGGCTTTGTAACTCTGGGGCACGTCTTGCTCACCAAGTTGCTAAGGTGCCCAGGACGGCCTCCAACAGGAGAGCTTCTCGCCTCAGCCTCCTGCCACCTCTCTGACACCCCTCCCCCTCGGGCTGACAAGGGGTGGCACTGCAGCCGGGCACTCACCAGCCGGGAAGTCCCCCTGCGGGTAGTCGAAGCGGTGTGGGTAGGGCGGCCGCTCAAAGGGGTGCCGTGGGGGGAAGTCGTCCTGCATGAAGCGGGGCGGGAAGCGGTTGAAGTTGTGGGGGTGCGGCGGCTGGTTGAACTGCGGGTGCTGCTGGTGGGGTGGGAAGGGCCCCCGGAAGTGCGGCGGCCGCTGCATGCGGAAGGGCGGCTCTCGCTGCCCGGCACCCCAGGGTGGCTGCTCGTGCTGGCTGTTCCAGGGGCCCTCGAACTGGCTGTTCCAGGTGGGGTCGGGCTGGCTGTTCCCGGGGGCGTCACGCTGGCCGTTCCAGCCGGGG